ACCCTAGAGGAGAAAGCAGGAAACAACCTCCTTGACCTCCACTGCAGCAATTTCTTACTTGACACATCCCCAAAGGCAAGGGAATCAAGAGCAAAAATGAACTATTGGGACCTCATCAAGATTAAAAGCTTTTGCACGGCAAAGGAAACAATCCATAAAACTAATAGGCAACCGACAAAATGGGAAAAGATAGTTGCCAATGACATATCATAAAGGGCTAGTATCCAAAATCTATAAGGAACTCACCAAACTCCACACCTGAAAAACAAACAATTCCGTGAACAAATGGGCAGAAGATATGAACAGACACTTCTCCAAAGAGGACATCCAGATGGCCAACAGACACATGAAACGATGCTTGGCATCCCTCCTCATCAGGGAAATACAAATCAAAACCACACTGAGATACCACTTCATACCAGTTAAGAGTGGCTAAAATGAGCAAATCAGAGGACTCTACATGCTGGCAAGAATATGGAGAAAAGGGCACCCTCCTACACTGTTGGTGGGAATATAAACTGGTGCAGCCCCTCTGGAAAACAGTGTAGAGGTTCCTCAAAAAATTAACAATAGAATTCCCCTGGGATGCAGCAATAGCACTGCTAGGAATTTACCCAAGGGATACAGGAGTGCTGATGCACAGGGGCACATGGACCCCAATGTTCATAGCAGCACTCTCAACAATAGCCAAAACATGGGAAGAGCCTAAGTGTACATCAACGGACGAATGGATAAAGAAGATATGGTTTATTTATACAATAGAATACTACATGGCAATGAGAAAGAATGAAATCTGGCCATGTGTAGCAACATGAATGAAGCTTGAGGGTGTTATGCTGAGCAAAATAAGTCAGGCAGAGAAGGACAGATACCATATGTTTGCACGTATAGGAGGATTAGGAAGAAATTAAAGTAGGACCATGGGGGAGAAGAAGGAGGGAGGCAAACCATGAGAGACTTTTGAATGCTGAGAACAAACTGAGGACTGATGGGGGTTGGGGGGGAGGAGCAGAAGGGGGGTGATGGGCATGGAGGAGGGCACTTGTGGGGATGAGCACTGGGTGTTATGTGGAAACCAACTTGACTATATTAAACTATTTAAAAAATAAGTAAATAACCAAAAAAAATGAGTCTGTGTTGAATTTTGTCAAAAAAATTTCTTTGTCTACAGAGATGTGTTTTTCTTTGTGTCATCTTGACGTTGTGAATAAAATTTATTGACTTTCTAATGTTAAACAAATCAGGCACTCCTAAAATAAACTTCATTTTGTCATAATATACATTTGTTTTTATTTAGATATCTTAAATTTACTTTTGCATGTATATTTGTGAGAGCTAGTCTTGCTTTTGTTTCTGTTTTTTTCTATAATGCTCTTATTCAAGATTTGATATTAAAATTATGCTGCACTCATAAAACTAGTTTCTAAGCTTTCCCACTTTTTTACTATTCCCTAGATTATTTTACTAAGATTTGTATATTTTTCTTAAATATATGAAAAATTTAAACAATGAAGCTATGCAGAATTGGAGTATTCTTTTTGGAAAGCATTATCTTACAGATTAACTTATAGATATAGGATATTCACTACTTTTCTCTTTTTACAGCTTTTGGTGTATTTTTCAAAGAGTTTGTCCATTTCACAAACCATATCATGTTAAATCATATAATATTTAGGGGCCTTACAAATTTATTCATGTTATGTCTTCTTTATAAACTTGCCATTTTGTTATTATGAAATATATGTTTATCTTTCCTTTACTTTTTACTTTCAATTTACCTAGATATTAAAATAGCTATCACTGCTTTCTTTGTATTTACTCTTTGCAGGTATGTATTCCTTTCAATCTTCTTGTGTTCTTATATTTAAAGAGCTTATATTATAAAAGAAATTGTGTGAGGCTGAAGGAGTTGGTGCCTTAAGGACAGCAAAAAGTAGAAAATATTCGATTATTTTTTTTTTTTATTCCTTGGTAACATTTTTTTCCATGGAGATTCACAGTATTTTTTTCATCTTTAAAATCTACTAATTTTCATCAGGATAAATCTCCAACATGACCACTGTAGGTCAATTTTCTAAATTTTATGGCAGGTCTTCTTGAAATGAAAATGTAGTTGGTCTTTTAGTTCTGAAATGGTCTCTTGGAATATACTTCTCAATATTACTTTTTATTTCATTATTTCATTTTCCTTTTTAGGAACTCAATGTACGTATATGTTGGCCATTCTGTGCCTATCTTCTCTATTGCTCTCTCTGTAATAGTATTAGCTTCTTTATTGTTTATTTCTTCTGTTTCTGTTCCTGCATTTACTAAATGACTTTTCCTACATTTTCAGTTGAGTCTAGGCTATTTGTGTGTATATTCTGTAATTTATTCTTCATTCATGATATGATTTTGTATTTTTCTCCAATGTGTTTCATGAGTTTGGCAACTCCTATTTCCTATTTTACTTTATTATCCATTTCTAATCTGAGTTTTTGGATGTCTTACTTGAAGCAGTTTCTTTTAATATATTCATCCACATGATTGTTTAAGGATGTTATGTTCCCCAGGTTTTTTGGTGTTCCTTTTCTTTTAAGAGTAAGTCATTAACTAAAATCTTGTCATTATCATTTTATGTTTTCTTCTTCTTGTGGTTTATGTGTTTTGCAAGCAGTTTTCTGTCCACTAGGAAATGTCTCCTATTTTACAAAATCAGCAATACCAAATAGGGATGAGAGGTCTGAGCTGTTTATTAAATTGTTTAGTTCAAGATCGCCCTCTTCTGTTGTTACAGAGAAGTGTAGTTTCCATAATGACAGCTTTATTTTGGGGGGTAACATTGTCTTTTACTTTCATGGTTCTTTTTCTTCTCCTTTTCTCTCTCCCTTTTATTTTTCTATAGAAGACTTATTTCCCTCTTGCTTCCCTCCTTTACATTCATAACCAACTATCTGAGGAACACCTCAAAACTCTTTCCTTTTTGCTGCATAAGTGATGATATTCCAAACCACCATCCCATCCAAGGTTCTTTTATGATTTCAAGACTTAGACTTGTTTTCAATAGATAGGATTACTCTGAGGGTGTACTTATCTCTGTCCCAAAAAGATTTTTCACCCACCATTCTCTTTCACAAGTTAGCTTTTTAAGTGGTAGATCTTTCTCTACTTACAGGTATATTGAAGTATGTATATGTGTGCATATGTGTGTCATATTAACTTTCTTAGCATGAATTATGTGTAGTTTTACTTCTTTAACTTGTTAATCTGTATGCCTTTTGGAATATGTGTGAAAAGAATATGGATGTAGTTTGTTAAAAAAGTATAAAGGATAAAAGCACTGCACTAGAATATGTTTGGGATATTTTTGACCAAATCATGAGGAAAGAATTTCTGATGGGGGGAAGTAACAAAGAGAAGCACTAAATCAAGTCTGGATGCAGAACAGAGCGAAGCATTTTGCACTAATGATCCTAAGTCATGCCAAAGGTAGCACATTGGAGTAAAATGTTAAAGGAGTTGCCCGCCCTTCTTTAAACAAGATTTTGAATATCAAACTCAGCTGGATTTGATCTTCATAAAACTCCAGAGAGAACAAGACTATCAAATAGAAAAAACAGTCTTAAATTATGTGTTAAAGTTATAATTATTGTTTTAATAATCTGATTTACTTTAAATATATTGAGATCTGAATTTCTTCCATCAAAATAAGTTTGTTCCATATGTCCAAAAAAATCTTTACATGCCATGAAACTTAACATTTGTAAAGCTTTCTCCACTCTATTTTATTCAATTGTTCTTTTTACTTGGTTTCTGATCCTAAACAAAAGTAATTAACTTGCATATGTGAAGGCATTTATACAATCACCCAAAGAAAAGAGAAATTCATATTTCTCCATACAAAATGTCTTTATATATTTTTTTCTTTATAGTCTAAACAGCAGTGCGCAAATAACAAAGAACTCCAAAGATTAGGTTTCTTAATTAGACCTACTAGACAGCTAATCCATAGTTAAAAGTTTTCTGGTGTTTCTTATTATAATCTGCTATACTATGAAAGTTAGAATGCAAGCATATATTTTTGAAAATCAAAGTTACTATCTAAAAAAGTTATCTTACTAGTTTGTCATATTATTTTAGGAAGCCTATGAAGTCTGATCCTAGGAGTAAGTAAATTATAGTAACTATAATTTCTTGTACTTTATACATGCAGCATGTCCCACGTTACACATCAAATATCTGTTGTTTAAAAAAAAAATTAATGTTTTTGAGAGAGGGACAAGAGCATGAGCAGAGGAGGGACAGAGAGACAGGGAGACACAGAATCCCTGGCAGGCTCCAGGCTCTGAGCTGTAAGCACTGGGCCTGATTCTGGGACTTGAACTGACAAACATGAGATTATGACCTCAGCTGAAGTCGGACGCTTAACCAACTGAACCACCCAGGCACTCCTGTGTTCTTATTTAATTCTTATAGCAGTACTCTGGGGTATCACTGTTCCCATTTTATATGTTAAGTACCTGAGATTCCAATGAGTTAAATAACTTGCCCAAAGCTACACAGCTTGGGAGATGAAGACAAAGGCACAGTCTCAACCTTCCTGCTGCCATCATTCATCTCAGGAGAGCACTCAGCCCATTTCTCCTACCCCAAACTGTTAACCTGTTTGTTCCTCACATGGAATGAGCCCCTATCTTCAACTTTACTCTCCTAATCAAAAATTTTTAGAAACAAATGTATTACATAGAATAAATCCCGCTAATTCATTTTAAATCTTTCAATGGCTTTGAAAAAGCCAATGGTTTGTCATTTAAAATCCATTTTTACTAAGAATAAATTTAATCATACTGTGAAAACCTGATTTGGGGGGTGAAAAGTAGTAACTAAGTCTGAGTGATTGTTCTTTCAAGTGGTCATTTGTATCAGCTTGATGACCACATCCTTGTAGTACTCTTGGTACCTAGTTACTCTCTCCATGCCAAAAAAAAAAAAAAAGTTAATAAAATACAAGATTTTTGAAGGAGAGGATTTTGAGTTTTATATCTATATTCCTGAGAGATGCATCAGAAAATCACTACATAGTAAAATATTCAAGAAGCTCAATGAACCCCAAAGAGAAAACACAAACACATTACAATCAAATTGCTGAAACTCATAATAAAGAAAAAATCTTAAAAGCAGCCAGATAAGAAAATTTCATTACAAACAGGGTAATAAAGACAAGAATAATGACTTCTCATCTGAAATAATGGGAACTGACAACAGTGGGAATTGAACCCACAGCCTTTATCCTTTATACTGTATTCACTCCACCCAAGTAATTTAATCAGCCCCAAGCCAGTATCATTAAAGTATCTAGATTTGTTTCCAAGTTGCTGGATTATGTTCTCATAGTTATGAATTAAAGGTATAAATCTGAAAAAAATGGAAAAAGTTATATTGGAGAAGGTTTGGAGGAGATACAGTGGTCTCAATGGATCTGAAAAGTGGTATAGTATTTTTTGATCAATTCTGTGTTTATATTTTATGACTCTCAAAAGGTAGTACTATTATTTTTGTTTTAATGATAACAAAACCACAATGCAAGAATGGAACAAAACTTGCCAACAAGGTAAACAGAAAGCACTGTACAAGTTAGATACAATAATCACAGGACATTTAGAAAATCCATAACGAGCTAAAAAAATATCTAACACATCAGTTCAATGTTCCAGGAGTAAATATGACCACTATTAGTATTTGCCTGTTTTCCTCCAAATTTCTTTAAAACATAGTTATACTGAATTTGTGTATCTGCAAGATAATGCAACTCTTTTTTTAAAAAAAATTTAATGTTCATTCATTTTTGAAGGAGAGAGAGACAGAGTATGAGCAGGGAAGGGGAAAAATGAGAGGGAGACACAGAATCTGAAGCAGGCTCCAGGCTCCCAGCTGTCAGCACAGAGCCCAGAGTGGGGCTGGAACACACAAGCTATGAGATCATGACCTGAGCCAAAGAGGAACAATTAACTGACTGAGTTACCCAGGTGCCCCAAGATAATGCAACTCTTAACATTTATAATATAAAGCAGAGTCCATGCTATTCAAAAAATGTTTCTCACATAAATTTTCTTTTAATTTTCTAAAGCAAATGTTTATTCATTTACAACAAAGCATATAGTTTAATGTACAGTACAATTATACATTCACTGCAATAAGTAACTTTTGAAATTATAAATTTAAAAAGCTCTAGAACTTATAAATGGGAAAAATGAATTCAAACACAAATCTCTTTGATTCTAGATACTGTGATCGTAATTATTAATTAAAGTGTACCTGAAAGATACTATGCATGATTCTTGGAAAAGCAGCAAGCAATTAATATTACCAACAATGTAAAGTGTCAGGGATGCTCAAAAGTAAACTGAAAGTAATTCATTATTACCTAAATAAGACATGTATATAAGTTTAAAAACAATTTTTTTCAGCATTCCTTTTTCTGTCATGGCTACTAGTTTCAAGAAAAATGGACATTATACATCAGGAACCTCATTTTTAAAACTAACAATACAGAAGTTTAATGAGGCTAAAAGGGCTGATTACTTAATAACTGTACAATGAGCAAAAATATTTATTTTTCTCCATTTTCCGTCATTGTTTGAACAGTTTTTCCAGTAAATCAGCTAGCACTGACTGTGATTAATAGATACCGTTTAATGATCGTGATGAGATTACAACTATTCCAAAAAAGACAAGTTGTACTGTGACGTCTGAATTTCTTCTATAATAAGAGAAAAAACAATTATCTCTTAAATTTTTACAACTGTGGTGATGGATTTCCTAGGATGATATCTATTCCAATTCTAAAATGCATATGGTGTATTTTCTAAATTATTTCCACTGGCCTTTCTTCCATGTTTTTGAGGTAGATAACTTGTTCTAATTTTCTTGGCATATATTCAAATTCATATGCAGAATTTCTTTTGTGAAGTCATCCAGAGGATATAGGCTAGAACAATGTGCTCAACTGAACAATATTATCTCTACTTCACAGATGACAGAACTGAGACAGAAAAGTAAAATGACATGTTCAATGCCACA